ATTATTGCCTATGTGTGATGAGGAAGATAGTGGGCGCCTATGGGAAAGCACTAAAAGTCTGATGAGAGGAGAATGAATAGAAATGAGCAAGGGAGGACTGGAAGGGACAATCAGCTCCCAATTCCTCTCTTTACTTAACAATGCCTCTCAATACTGCCATTTGATAAGGTACATAGTCAGTGACAGGCCAGCTACTGGGGTTGTTTCAGGCATATTCAACCTACTCATGTGTACGCTTGGGGAAGAAGAGGCAGCTTGTGAGCTGAGAAGACAGAACTTGCAAGCACACCAGATGCTCTTGCACATCCAGGGAGAAGGGAGGTTTGTTGTGCAGAGGTATTGGATACCTCCTTACACAGAGTCCAAAAAAATGTTGACATAACCGGGGGTAGGGCGTGCATATGCTGCTAATAGCATTCTAGTCTCAAGTAGCTATCTCACTTTGCCAATGGCTGTGGTTATTGTTGATATAGAAAGAGAGATAAAAAGTAGACTCCTGGATCACAACACATGCCATGATGGGGGTGGGAAGAATTTTATTTTTTATCAGTCTTCCAAAATCTGAGCCAATGCTGTCATCAGCTCAGTCACTGTCAATTCTGTACCTTGTACTGCCAGACAAAGTAAACTATCCTTAATGCTTGATTTATTCCAAAGCTTGTGGCTGTTCTTGTTTTGGATACATGCTCTATGATTGATGTGACACATCATGTCCATTTTGTGTGTTAGTGCAAGAGACTGGATGAGGCTTGAATTATATATCAAAAAGTCTTGCAGGCAGATTTTTTGTTGTAGTGTTGTTGTTTTTTTTAAAAAACCTTTAATTTGAACTGAACTGTATGAAAACTAGTCAGTCAACCACACCTTATATATACTTATATACTTTTGCTCTCAAAACCTAACCTTGACTTATACATGAGGTTGATGTGTACATGAGTATATATGGTATTTTATCATGGAGAACATTTTCTAATACATATCTTTAGGACTGGAGGGTTTTTTTGTGTGCCAGGAACGACTTGAGAAACTGCAAGTTGCTTGTGGTGTGAGAGAACTGGCCGTCTGCAAGGACGTTGCCCAGGGGACACCCAGATGTTTTGATGTTTTACCATCCTTGTGGGAGGCTTCTCTCATGTCCCCGCATGGGGAATTGGATCTGACAGAGGGAGCTCATACCCCTCTCCCCGGATTCATACCTGTGATCTGTCGGTCTTCAGTCCTGCTGGCATAAGGGTTAAACCCACTGCGCCAATGGGGGCTCTATTGGAGATGTTGAAGACTGCAATCCATTTGCTCCAAAATATAAATCTTACAAATCATTGTTGGGAATTGTTAAAGAACATAGTGTCACAATTTTTTTAAAAAACTTAGAAATAACAATAGATCACAATCCTATACAAATACATAGGATTACTTCTCATTAAATTCAATGGGATTTACATTTGATTATTGATTTATTGGGATATACTGTAATTTCTTGATGTGTGTACTACTGGTCATAATTGTTTTATAGTGGAAGACATTCTGGATTAATACAAATGTGGTCCTTTTAATCCAATACCTGAAAAAACATTTCAACACCAAAGCTGGGAGTTAAAGTCCAACAGCATAGGGAGGGGGTTGCAAGTTCCAGAACTGAATCCTACAATGATAACCTGGTGCTGAGCTGAAATTGCAGTTTTTGAGTGAGTCTCTCACATTCACTTTTGTTACACATGAACAAAAAGCAAGATGTTACTGTTTGTGTTCTATTCCTGGCTTAATTAAAGTCTCTGTCATTTCAGCATCTGACAAAATTTAGGTCATATTCAATCTATTTCTTCTTTAGTTTCCATCAGTATTATAAAAATGTGTATTTTTAAAAATATATCTGCTGTAGTTCCAGACTCAGACTCTTACCTCTCCACCCTCTGAACTTGGAAGCATGTTATAGTTTTTTTCAATGATCATCCTCCTGGAATGTTTTCAATATTGCATTGTTTAGATTTTGCTCTGCTGTCTTGCTTCTCTATGCCAGAGTCTGCTGCTCTTTAACTCTCTGAAATGAGTATATGTTGAATGTGACCCAGAACTTGAATAGTCTGTAATGAAGCCCGGGTTCATAGAACTTGGCATGGATATCCTTTCGGCAGTTGCATAATGGCTCACCCCACGTAACCACTTTCCTACTGGCAAAGGCTTCACCTCTTGGATCCTTTTCCAAGTTCTTGAACCATTAAGCAGAAACCTCATTTTTCCCCCAAAACTCTAAGGTGTGTCATACACTCCAAAATACTCAATGTCTGTAAAAGTATTAAAAAGGACTTTTGAACCCCCCGCCCCACTTCATTCCTTCTCAACCGTCATCTCCATTTTGCAGAGACATATATAAGTAAATCAAAACAAAATCTTCCAACTTTATGGTGCTTTTTTAGTTTACACTGTGGATAAAAAGATCCCTTAATTTGCTGAGGGAAGGTAGTGGCAGAAGAGACTATTTTTGTCCTTTCTTCTTCCTTTTGCAATGGCACGCCACATACTCTTGTTGTGGAATTTGAGAACTGCCTGTGTGCTCAGCCTTGTTGTTTAGCAGTCTCCTCTGGGATCTCTTTTTGTCTGTTGTGCGTGACTCTGTCTAACCAACTCCTCCTAGAAGTAAAGTTTCATATCAAGTTCTGTCTCTTGGCTTTGTGAATAATAAATGCTAAGTTCCAGATTTCACAGATCACTGATAATTGGTTTAAGGCAACAAGACAGCTTCGTTTTTTAAAATTTATTTTTTTGGTAATGGCAAAGAAAGAGGGTGGCAGAAATTACTTTTGCGACTCATCTGATACTGAAGCTCTGATGATAATGGGGCCAGCATCAGCCAGCCTTTGAATTAACTTGATCTGTCTTGAAATTGATCCCAGTTTTCATGAGTTCTGGCAAAGCTATGACCCTTGAGATCCCCTTGGATGCAGCATGGTAATTAATTACAAGGGAGTCATAGCACAAAAAATGTGTAGTGTGAAAGAGATCTAAATTGCTAAAAGTAAAGGTAAAAGTTTTCCCTAGTCATGTTTGACTCTGGGGTGGTGGTGCTTATCTCAATTTCTAAGCTGAAGAGCCGGCATTGTCCATAGATGCCGCCAATGTCATGTGGCTGGCATGACTGCATGGAGCACCATTACCTTTCTGCTGATCTATTCACCATTACCTATTGATCTACTCACATTTGCATGCTTTTAAACTGTTAGGTTGGCAGAAGCTGGGGCTAACAGTGGGAGCTCACCCTGCTCCCTGGATTCAAACTGCCAAACTTTCAGTCAGCAACCACCCCACTTTTGATTCATCCTCTTTCTGCCCACCTGCTTCCCATGGCAATGTAGTGGTTGTCAATAGGTAGGGAGCAGATGAAGGATTGCTGCCAACATAACCTGTACACCATGATGATGTTATACTGGAGGATCCTTAGAGGGCTCCAAAGGTGGCCTGCATTGGTGTGTGTTGGCTACAGTCAGCAATCCTCCTCACTTTTCTGGCCCCATTCCCTCCCTCCAGCCAGCTATCCATCAGTGAAGGTGATAGAGGATGGAGAAGATTCACCCATCTCTCTGACTATTGCTATCTGGCAATGGGCAGGACTTCTCACTTGCTGCATTTGACCTCTTGCCTACCAGCCACTAAATCACTGTGTGAGAAGGCAAGAGCAGAGTAATCTACAGAGGCTCATTTGTAGCTGGCTAGCTTGTGACAGATGAGCTGGACAGCTCACCTTATCCTTCTAGCCAGCCATGTGGGAGCAGTTGGGGCAACTGATTGAGAGGGATCACCCATTACCATCTTTGCTTTTTACTTACTTAAGGGATCCTTTGTAGCTCATGGATGATTGTCTTCCAGATATTGTGTCTTGGCGGTGGGTCTGTAGGTGGCTGTGGAGCACTATTCTTGATCCGCATGTTTTCCAGATGGAAGGTTGTTCTGGTCAGGGTTGGCTTGATGTGCCTTCCTCTTGGCATGTTTCTCCCTTTCGCCCTCCATTCGTGCCTCTTCAAATTGTGCAGCAGTGCTGGTCACAGCTGACCTCCAGTTAGAGCGCTCAAGGGCCAGGGCTTCTCAGTTCTCGGTGTCTATGCCACAGTGTTTGAGGTTGGCTTTAAGCCCATCTATGATAGGCAGCAACAGACAAAACTTCTTGTTTGGCCGTTTCCTTGTTCCCAGCCAGATAACTCCTTTGCTTTAGCTAAATTACAAACCCCAGGATCCCATAGGATGCAGCCATTGCAATTAAAGTGGAACCATAGTGCTATAATGTAGTAGCGTAAAAGGGCTCCAGATCTCAATCTATATAAATAAAAATGTAATGTTCGTTTGTGGGATTAACATAACTCAAAAACCACTGGACCAATTGACACCACATTTGGACAAAATACACCTATCAGGCCAATGAGTGACCATCACTCATAAAAACACTGAAAAACACAGCAGATGAGACTTAAAATCCAAAAAATAAAAAATACATTACAACGCATGCACAAAACTAAATGTATATACACAAACACACACACACACACATATATACACACATATATACACACACAAAACACATATACACAGACTGGACCACAGCAATGCGTGGCAGGGGATGGATAGTCCAGAATATAATTTGAATATTCTGTTTGCTGACTTTTAACATTTTTGCTCATAACAAGCTTGTTAAATACTCCTAATTTTCATAAAATCTATTTTTTCCATATTATTTTAATTTACTCTGGAGCATCACATTCCAGAAGCATAATAAATACCCATTATTTCAGACACCACGCTGTACCAAATTGCTCCTAAACGTTGCTTTGGTTTCCCTGTGATTCACTTGAACTTTGTAATAGGAAATTTGTTTGAATCAGGATGTCTCTGAAGAAATGGAAATGAGAATGAATGTGATGGAAAGATTAGAAATACAGAAAGTAAAGATAAAGACTGCAGCAGGCTAAGTCATTAAACATATGCTGTTGTTGTTTTTACTTTGGAATATGCAGATCATGGTTTTGTGGGCTATTCAGAGGTGCTTATGGTGAACAACACATTTCCAGACTACAGCCCAGGGGAGTCCTTTTTCACTGTATTTGGAGTCTTCTTCCCAGCTGCAACAGGTACTTTAAAATGTTATAGGGTGTGTGTGTGTGTGCTTTTGTGCGGGTTTTTTTCAAACTTTATTTAAACAGATACATTGAAAAGACATCAAAGTTAGCCATATAAACCCAAAGGAGATACTCTACTCTGAACTCAAGAACGGAAAAAGGAATGTTGTTGAGATTTAAAGATGGACTTAAAGCCACCCTCAAAAACTGTGGCATAGACACTGAGAACTGGGAAGCCCTGGCCCTTGAGCACTCTAACTGGAGGTCAGCTGTGACCAGCAGTGCTGCAGAATTCGAATGGAGGGTGAAAGGGAGAAACTTGCCAAGAGAAAGGTATGTCAAGCCAACCCTGACCGGGACCGCCTTCCGTCTGGAAACCGATGTCCTCACTGCAGGAGAACACGTGGATCAAGAATAGAGCTCCATAGCCACCTACGGACCCACCGCCAAGATGCTACATCTGGAAGAACATCATCCTCAATCTACAAGGGGACTCAAAGCTGATCATAGAACACATATACAGCAAACATTCAATGCCGTTTATACACTGACAAGACAGACAATTGTACTTAAATAGAGGTATAAATAGGTTTTTCCCATCTTCAGCATTTTGGAGATTTGTGTTCGGTTCTGGCCATGATGGGGGGTGGGGTGCTGTCACTCCATCTCCCTGCCGAACAGCTTTGTTCGTAAACTTCTTTCTTGATTGAATCACCAGCATTTTTCTGGCATTTCCTTATGGGTGCCTCCCCGCTTTTAAGCAGTACCTTATCTACTCACATTTTGCTTTTGAACTGCTAGGTAGGCAGAAGCTGGGCTAAAGGCCAGGAGCTCACCCCAACCCAGGCTTCAAACTATCAACCTTTAAGTTGGCAAGATTTACTGCAGGTGATGGTTAACCTGCTATGCTAAAGCCTGGCCATACAATCAAAGTAACACATAGCATATAAGTAAAAAAAGAAATGTCAACAGGGATGAAGTCCAGCAGATGCTGACTACCCATCTTTCCGTCTGAGGCCAGAGCAATTGCAATTGGACATGGAAGAACTCCCATTAGTTAGTGCTGATGGAGTTCATGCATAACTATAAATCCATGCATGCTGATAAAACATACTTTTTTTCATGTCAGGAGCGACTTGAGAAATCGCAAGTTGCTATTGGTGTGAGAGGATTGGCCAATCTGCAAGGACGTTGCCCAGGGGATGCCCGGATGTTTTTATGTTTTACCATCCTTGTGAGAGGCTTCTCTCATGTCCCTGTATGGATAAAACATACTAATGGTAGGCAGGTTGTAACTGTTAGCAGCATAACATGTGATGGGCATCTAAATCCCCAGGTCTCTAAAATTTCAGCTTTTTAAAAAACAAAAACAAAAAAACAACAACAACCCCATTATGTATTTATTTATCTAATTAAAACTACTGAAATAATTTGTTGTTGTAGACTTTATATTTAAAAATGCCAAAACCTTTATAACCCATTTGCACTGCCTGGTTCCTCCCCTCCACTGTTTCTTTTTATGGGGTGGAGAGACACGCAATTTAGGATTGAAAAGAGAAGACCATAAAACATGAAAAGCTACTTTAAATGTTCCCAAGTGCCTTTATTTATTTATTTATTTATTTATTTACTGCATTTATTGACCGCCGCTCTCAGCCCTAGGGCGACTCGCGGCGGTGCACAACATATAAAAACAGTTTACAAAAGGGCAAAACAGGAAATCAATACAACAATAATACACTATAATCTAGTTACACTAAATAATCCGCTCCGTCACATCATAGAATCATAACCAATATCGTAATCCGTATTCCGTTCCAGTTGTCAATTACCAGTTGCCGTAGCGCTCAGTTGAATGCCTTCTCAAATAGCCAGGTCTTCAGGCTCTTACGGAAGGACAGAAGGGAGGGCGCCTGTCTGATGTCAGCAGGGAGGTCGTTCCACAGCCGGGGGGCCACCACCGAGAAGGCCCTTTCTCTCGTCCCCGCCAGACGTGCCTGTGAAGCAGGCGGGATCGAGAGAAGGGCCTCCCCAGACGATCTCAAGGACCTCGTGGGCTCATAGGCCGAGATGCGGTCCGAAAGGTATTTTGGGCCGGAACCGTTTAGGGCTTTGTAGGATAACACCAGCACCTTAAATTGGGCCCGGTAGCAAATCGGCAGCCAGTGGAGCTGGGACAGCAAGGGCGTTGTATGCTCCCTGCGTCCCGCTCCTGTTAGTAACATGGCTGCCACGCGCTGGACTAGCTGAAGCTTCCGGGCCGTTTTCAAGGGCAGCCCCACGTAGAGAGCGTTGCAGTAGTCAAGGCGGGATGTGACCAGAGAGTGTACTACCGTGGCCAAGTCAGACTTCCCGAGGTACGGGCGCAGCTGGCGCACGAGCCTAAGCTGTGCAAATGCTCCCCTAGTCACCGCTGAAACCTGGGGATCCAGGCTCAGAGATGAATCCAGGATCACACCCAAGCTGCGAACCTGCGCCTTCAAGGGGAGTGCGACCCCGTCCAGCACAGGCTGTAATCCTATACCCTGTTCGGCCTTGCGACTGACCAGGAGTACCTCTGTCTTGTCTGGATTTAATTTCAGTTTGTTCGCCCTCATCCAGACCATTACAGCGGCCAGGCACCGGTTCAGGACCTCGACAGCCTCCTTAGTAGCAGGTGGAAAGGAGTGACAGAGTTGGGCATCATCTGCGTACAGATGACACCGCACCCCGAAACTCCGGATGATCTCACCCAGCGGCTTCATGTAGATATTAAACAGCATGGGGGACAGTATAGAGCCCTGTGGAACCCCACAGGTCAAAGGCTGTGGTGTTGAACAGGAGTCCCCCAATAACACCTTCTGGGTACGGCCCTCCAGAAATGACTGGAGCCACTGCAGAGCAGTGCCCCAAGACCCATTTCCGCAAGGCGCCCCAGAAGGATACCGTGGTCGACGGTATCGAAGGCCGGTGAGAGGTCCAGGAGCACCAACAGGGACACACTCCCCCTGTCTAGCTCCCGGCGCAGATCATCCACTAAGGCGACCAAGACCGTCTCGGTACCATGTCCCGGTCTGAAACCAGACTGTGCCGGATCCAGATAATCCGTGTCTCTCAATAATACCTGGAGTTGTGAGGCCACCACGCTTTCCATGACTTTGCCCAAAAAGGGGAGATTGGAAACAGGCCGAAAGTTGTCAAATTTAGTGGGGTCCAGTGATGGTTTCTTCAACAGTGGTTTTATAATAGCTTGTTTTAAGCTCGCTGGAATCTTGCCTTCCCGAAGGGAGGCATTAACCACCACCGTTACCCACTCAGCCAATCCCCCTCTGGCCTCCTTCAGAAGCCAGGATGGGCAGGGGTCTAGGATGGACGTGGTGGGCCTCATTCCTCCAAGTATCTTGTCCACATCCTCGGGCTTCACAAACTGAAAAGAATTGTTTAAATTTAGAGCAGTCTGCAGATATATTAATAAATGCATAAATATAATCCAAACAACCCCTTTATACCCTTTAAAAATAATATGGAAGCATGGCTTCTCTCAATCTTTTTCCTCTTGCATGTTAATGTTATTCCCTCATATTGCATAATGATTGAAATGGTATGTTTTGTTACGCAGAAAAGGGGTGGGGGAAGGAAAGGAAATGCTTTACAAGGAACAATGTTGATTGTTAATGTGAGATTTACAGGCTCTGGTTGTAACATTGAGGGCTGGAGAATTCCTAGTTTGTCCAGTAGGGCTTAACATCCAGGTATGTGTGCATCAACTTATTTTCCTTTGTTTCTTGTAATCTGTCCACCGTTTAGAGGGATTGGGGACAATACAGCATGGAGGTGTCTGACAGAGGAATTCAACAGTCTCGGAGCACAGTCCCTTCAGACTCCTCTTCCTTCTTTCCTATGTTTAGCCCCCCAAGTTCTTGCTCTAAGAAGGAGAAAAAGACCCTCTGGCTCACTGCAAGCTAATGATCGGGCTATGCGCTTGCCCATACCAATCAGCCTCTGTGTCTTGTTCCCACCACTCCCCATCTCCAAACTGATTTTTCTTACCAAGGTCTCCTTCGTCCTGATCCCCTGTGTCTGTCTGGATGCCTTTGGTTAATGTTGCTCTTTTGGGCCAAGATCCTTAATTTGTGCCCCTTCATGAGAAAACAAGTGGGTCACAATGGTACCCTTTGAGCTCTTTCAGCCGGTTCTGTCAGGATGAGGACAGGATGAGCTTCCAGGACTCAGGACCAGGCAAGGCAGGTCACAGGGCACTGGCCTTTGTCACTTTGTGCATCGCCAAAGAATATAATACTGAAATTTGTAGTTTACTATGTCTCCTTTTTTATTAGGGGTGGGGTTGGAGGTCTTCAATATCATCTCCAGAAGTTAAGATGGCTAAATCCACACTGCCAATTTGGACAGTTGGACATGTCACAAGAAGGCATGTCTCACTAGAAAAGACAACAACACTTGTTAAGGTGGAAGGCTGTAAGAAAAGAGGAAAACCACATTATCGATAGATACATCCAATCAATCAATCAATCAATCAATCAATCAGTCAATCAATCAATCAATCAATCAAGGAAGGCACAGCAGTGAGGCCTGAGCAGGGCTATTTATGGTCAATAGGATGAATTCAAAAAGAGAAGACTGTTGTATTCTTTAGGTTAAGAATAACAGCACAGTGCTTTATTTAATTAAATACCTCACTATAGATTAGATCGGAGGTAGCAGGAATTGTGCTTTGTTCTGATATACTCACTATTGACACACCCTTTCCTTGTTGCTGTTTCTCAGAGTCAGCCAGCCCAGGATATTTTGCTTTCTGAAGCTAAGAATGAGATCCCCTGCCTTCTTCTCTTCCTACCTCGTTATTTTTGTCAAGCTAAGTTTGACTAATGGCAACCATATAAATCCGATCCTTCCAAGAGCTTTGTTTATCAGCTGACCAGCTCAGATCTTGCAAACTCAAGGCCATGGCTTCCTTGATTGAATCAATCAACCTGTAATGTGGCTTCTATATTTTCCTACTACCTTCCACTTTA